AATAGAGGAAGATTGGCAACAGATGTTAGCTCAGGACTAATCTTCCTTACTAAAAAGAAAAAAAAAAGTTGAAACCCAGAATAAGCACAGAGTAAAGCCACTAGAGCATCAACATATTTAATGTCCACGCTATATCCCACCACATTGTTCTCCAGGAAGGTTGCTCCAATTACAGAAATAATTCCAGTGAATGTATTTCCTGGTTTAGTCCATTTTAAACTTTAATATTCTTGATGTAATTAAAGTGATCACAATCTGATTGCTTTCCCTCTATTTCTCCTGTTATAACACTCAATATTCAGCCATATTTCCTTCTTGATTATTTTTTTTTATTTAACTCTTTAATCTAGGTGGAATTTATTTTGGCATATACTCTGACATGAGGTTCTAAATTGCCTTTACCCCCCACTAGCAAGCTTCCCAAATGCCATTTATTGATCGGGATCCATTTTAGAGCCAAAGATAAAGAGTTGGATGAATATTATCCCAACAGGCCATATCCCCCATGTCTTATCTTGTTCACTTCTAGCCAATATTTGTTGAAAGTATACAAGACTGGTTTTCATAGGTCTGCTCTGTTTTTCATAGTCTCCTCATCCCCTAGAAGAGCGTCTGGCACACAGTAGGGCCGTTCATATTTTGATCGGTGAGTGACCTGAGAGTGTCTGATGCCAAGTGCCTGCTGCAGCCTCTAACTGGTCTCCCTGCTTCCACTCTTGTTTCTTCTCTGCAACCAGAATAATCTTTTAAAAATTATCATGTCACTCTCCAGCTTCCTATCTTCAGTGGCCTCCCATCTCGTTCAGACAAAACCCAAGCTCCATGCTGGAGCTCTGACCTCATCTCTGACTTTGTCTCCCATGACTCTCTCCCTCATGGTGCTAAAGCCACATTGGCCTTTCCTTTCTATTCTAGAACACTCTAAGATCCCCCCTCAACACCCCCTAGGCCCTAGCATTGACAATTTGCACTGCCCGAATCAATGTTCCCCTGACTTGTTACTCATCACCCAGGTCCCAGCTAAAATGTCAACTCCTCAGATGCTCCTCCTGAACTTCCCACCTAATACTGAGCCCCTAGCTCACCCCATCTGTGCAGTCACTCTATCACAGTGCCCTGTTTTATGGTCTAGTTGGCACTCACTGCTATCTGAATTTATTAATTTGTTTACGCATTTTGTCTGTCTTCTCCACTAGAACATAAGCTTCATAAGGGCACAGATTTTGTCCGCCTTGGACAGCATGCTTACCAAAATGCCTAGTAGGCACTCCATGAATGTCTCTTGAATGAATGAGTGAATGAAGTCATGAATTTCCTTGATAGAAGAATAATTCAGAATAATAATAATAATTGACATGTATTGAACATTTTCTACAACCCAGTCACTGAGCTAAGCTTTTGCATGCATTGTCCTGTTTAATTCTTAGCAACGCTATTACGTGGGTACTATTATAATCACCACTTTATAGATAAGGAAACTGAGGCACAGAGAGGGGGAGTTACTGTTTTGCTCAAGGAACTGGGATGAAACCTCAGGACCTCCTGACTTGCTACGGTTGTGTGGCTGGTGCCCTGCACAAGGATGGTGACACCAGGCTGATGGCTGATGCCCCTCTGTGCACTGGGGTGCAGGACTGCATCTGCCTGATGGAAGGGAGCCTTTGTCAAGTCTTTCACAGGCATCCCACAGACCCTGCTACTTGCATTCCCTTAGTGCCCTCCCACAACTTCCCAATGCTTTCTCTCCTTGGTAAGGGATTCCTTACCCAATTTCAATTCCTTACCTTTTCATGGCCTGGAATCCAGAGAGACACAGGTTTCACTTGATTTGGCAGATCCTTTTCATCCTTGTGGACGCAGATGAACCCAGAAACAGACATGTCTTCAAACACTTCCGGATCACAGAGGTCAACATTCCATCTGTCCAGATCCTAAACTTAAGCTCTGATGCAAGGTACAAAATGCCTTCTGAGGAGATAACCTACGAAAACCTCAAGAAATTCGGCCGCAGCTTTCTGAATAAAATTGCCAAGGTAAGTTTGTTCTTAGACAAGGTTTATCCAGAACCTGAAAATTGCCCCTTTTTGGTAATTCTGCTGGTGTTAGCCATCTGAATTGGGAGGCAGGATAAAGGTCAACCTCACGGTTCAATGTGGGGAAATACCTCCATCACCCCACCTCAAATCTACTCAACTTTTGACCTGTCTTTACTCTAGAATTCCACCCTAATTCTTTATTCTTAAAGTAAAGGCATTTCCTCTGCAGCAATTTCCAACTGAAATGCAGGCACTCCCAGGGCTAACATCCTCTGAAAGCAGGCTCTTATTCTCTTTCCAGATTCTAATGTGAAAGATTTACTTGGCCCAAGGGGAGATGCTTGCTTTGGGGGAGAAGATGGAGTGGAATGGATTCAGCAATCAGGATTTAACCTCACAGGCTTTAGGGACCTTTTGTTTGAGGGGTTAGAAGGGAGCCTGTTTTGCTAAAAGGGAGAAGAGGCTGCAAAAGGATGGCTACGTAACACAACATCACCTGCTGTTTATTGAGCACTTACTGTATCCCCAACACCCTGCCTCAGTCAGGTGACCAGATTTATTATTTTCTAAAGGGGGACACTTTTGAGAGTAATGGGGAATTCTTTAAAAGTATTGCTGGAACACCAGGAATAAATTGGGACTCTCCAGGTGCCGGCCCGGTGGCGCAAGTGGTTAAGTGCGCATGCTCCACCGCGGCGGCCCGGGGTTCTCCGGTTGGGATCGTGGACGCGCACCGACGCACCGCTTGGCAAGCCATGCTGTGGTGGCGTCCCATATAAAGTGGAGGAAGATGGGCACAGATGTTAGCCCAGGGCCAGTCTTCCT